CTTTTGATTGAAAGGTGGTTTCAATTAACCACCTAGCTAATGCTGTTTTAATATTCGCAAAAGTAAATTGGGAAACGAGTATCTTTTGAATATCTTTCATCCGATAATAGAAATACGCTTGGATTTCTGGTTACTCAAGTTTGATTTATTAATAATATGGCTTTTCAAGATCCTCTACTCTGATTGGTTGGTCGTAAAACACATATCCGTCGGTCAATAATCAGTTATTATTACTCCAACAATCGTAAAAATCCATTATTATCTCTAGACATCTTCTCCAAAGTTCAAAAACATTTTTTTGTTTTCCCTCGCATTTCAGGTGGAATTGAAAAAACAATTCCTAGATGAGGTGGTAAACAAAAGAGAATTTAAGGTTGGTTATAAAGTGGTTCTAATCATTATAATTTTTTTAAGAAATAAACGAAACGAGGAATATGTGGCAATTCGGAACTCCAAAGTTAATTTAGCCCGTGTTCAAATCTCTATATAAATTCGTGACTGTATATAATCTCTGAGTCATATATAATTGTTTATTCCATTACTACCACAATAGTTTCATAAACTTTTTCTGAGTCAGGAACAAATTTATTTAACTCATAATCGTGTATTTTTATGGATTAAATGGTCAACAATGGTATGGTCAGCGGGCATCTCGAGCTGTCAATCAAGCCATTGCTCGTGCATTTACGTCGTAAAAAAGATTTTGTGACGATTTTGGGTCGGATTACACAAAACTCTGCTAGATGACCCGCATATCCGTTCTAATCTGATACCTAGGCTCATTTTCCAAGGTTCTGCCAAGAAAGAACAAAAGCGGAACTGCCAAAAATGATGTAGCGGTATATTTGTATATATCCGACGTTTGGAGGCCTTCAGAGAGAGTTCAGACGAGCAACTGAATTAGTGAGTTCTTAATTGAACTATAATAAAGAACTATAATAATTTTTACGCCACATCAATAACTTGAAACAGCTTATAAGATCAATGGTTGTACTCTGACGAACATTGCTATCCGTGAATTGGTTAAGTTTTTGAAGAACGAAAATCATGAGAGTAACGACCGTGAACTTACTAAACTATATTTGAGTGGCAATCGTTAAACAGCTGAAGCTGCTAACGATTTATGTGATGCTCTGAAGAGTGGCACCTGTAAATTTACCAAGCTAAATGTAAGAGGCAGTGGTTTAACAGCTCAATGTGCAAAATATTTAAGTGATGCTCTAAAGAGTGGCACCTGTAAACTTACCAAGCTAATTTAGCTAAATGTAAGAGGCAGTGGTAATAAACTGCATGTAAGTGGCAATAATTTAACAGCTCAAGGTGCAAATATTTAAGTGATGCTCTGAAGAGAGGTAGCTGTAAACATAATAAACTAGATGTAAGCGGCAATGGACTAACAGCTCAAGGTTCTGAATATTTAAGTGATGCTCTGAAGAGTGACAACTGTAAACTTACTAAATGAGATGTAAGTGACAACGCTTTAACAGCCGAAGGTGCTAAATATTTAAGTGATGCTCTGAAAAGTGACAAATGTAAACTTACTAAATTAAATGTAAGTCGCAATGGTCTAACAGCTGAGGGTGCTAAATATTTAAGTGATGCTCTGAAGAGTGACAGCTGTAAACTTACTAAACTAGATGTAAGCTAGTGTCAATGATTTAATACCTGAAGGTGCTAAATTTTGAAGTGCATGATGCTCTGAAGAGTGACAACTGTAAACTGATTTACTAAATGTAAAGTCCTAGTGGCTGCAATCAGTTTAAAACGCGTAAAATGTTGTCAAATGTTCTTGTTGAGACTTACGACGACTTGCCTCTTGTACAAACAATTTTTTTTTCAAAAAAAATTTTTTTCCCGATATTTTTGGTCGATTATATTTTGCCCAACTGGATGAGACGTTTTATGAGACAAAAGATAAAATGCAAATTTTCAGCCCAGACTTTCATCGCTCTCTTTCGAATGTGTTAAGTCAAGCTCATCTAATGGATTAGTTCCGCCTTATTACTCGGGCTACCGTAGGTAGCGAGGTTGCCGTAGGTAGACGGAGTTATAAAATGGGCTCGGTTTTTTCTTTTGCGTCGCGAGTTTACAAAAATCACGCGTGGGCGGCACGAATTCTTCGAACCAACCGAAATCGTCCTAGGATCGTTTCTCGCGCGGGTGTCACGAACATGCCATGTCACTACGAGATAACTGTAGCCCGAGTGATCCGTGATCGCCTGAGTAGGCATCTTGTTGTTTATATTTCAAAGAAAAGCGATCGCAAAAAGTCGATCAAGCGACATTTTGCACCGTCTGGAAATCCGCCTTAAAGCCTAGTTTCGATAGTGAAGTCGTTGTCTTTCGCTACCTGTCGTTTGGAGTAACCTTGAAAGACCAATATACCGATACAGAAAAACCGAAAACGACAGTGTCGTTGGGATAGAAAAAACCCCTATCTCAAAGACGTATAACGACAAGAAACGACAAAATTCTGGTCAAAGCGGTCCGGTGACATACAGAAGAATCTAAAATTTATAACAAATAAGTATGGAATATTGTACTAAGTAGAAAAAACTTATATGAGCATAAACAAATTTAGTTGAAGAAGAAACTCCTTGCTAAGGGCCTCCTTTTTGTTTTGGTATAGTGACGATGTACGAAACTGTCGTTTTCGGTTTTTCTTTGTCGTTATCGGTCTTTCAAGATTACTCCAAAGACTCCGAAAGACACGTAGCGACAGATAACAACCTTATGGAAACTAGGCTTCAGTAAACAAAGTAAGCGCAGCACGCGCGCGAGTATCACACGTGCATTGCTTAAAAAAGGGAATTAGAGTTTGTAGTCTTTTTTATAGTATTCTCCAAATTGTAATTCTAATAAGTATTTTGTAGTTTATTATTGTCCCCGAGCCGGTGCGAAGCACCGGGCGAGGGTACTAATTCCGCCCGGAGATTTTGATTACGCCCGGGAATGCAAATGCGAAATGAAAGTTGTCCGCCATTATGTCATGGACGTTGGGCGTTTTAGTAAGTTATGCGCATGCGTGAGTTTAAGACGAGTTAAAACTGGTAACCAGCAAACGTTTGCAAGCGTGCGATTGGCTAAATTAAAATTTTGGCTCGCGACAGCATAACTGATATTTTGAATTATAAAACTTTTTTTAAAATATTTTTCATTTGGATTGTTTGAAATATACGGAAAAATTCACTCGTAAAAATGATTAAAATGTAAAGTAGATTATGCTTTCGGGTAGAAAAACTTTGATTGAAATAGGTGGTGAAAAATCTACGATTTTAAAGCATTTTTGGAGCGTTTTGAGCAGGTAAAAAGTAGATTTTGTATTATAAAGCATGCAAGTATTTCGTAAGTTTAACGTGTAGATTTATCAACAAACGTACGACACACCACCTTGAATTTATTCGTCAATTTCGTTAAAAGATTTTGATTGGGAAAGCATTCATCTTTAAAGGTCAATCTGTTTAAAAAGGAAACGAAATTTCGCTAAAAATTGTAGTATTTAAAACTATTCGTAGCGCAATTAATGAATTACGATTATAGTTGAATGTGCATGATAGCTCGAGAGTCGACTTTATAATTGTACCAAGATATAGGACTATACTTATACGGCTTCGATCATTCAGCAGAAAACGAGTATTACAGAATTTCAGTGATGGAAATATACGTTTATTGCTTCAGGCGAGGGGACTTTGCATGCAATGTATTTCTAGTAATTTCACTAATTTGTATGGTAAATTTCTTTGTATTAATTGAAAGTTGTATGTAAATCAAAACTACGTACGGCCCGATTTTTGGTGGACTGTTCAGACAACCCGATATTTTTTTTGACGGGCTTAGGGGGGAGGTAGGTGGCATGCGTAAAGAAACGTAATGGTGTTTCAACCATAAACAAATTCCCAAAATGAGATTTAAATCAATGGGTTTAAATGGCTGACGAGGAAGCTAAGAAACTTGCTGCTGCTGCTGCTATCTTGGTTGCCGTTACGTTGTGGTGAAAAGAAGAAAGGCACGCAAAGACAGGAAACGTAATATGTGGCAAAAGAGTTGGATTGCCAGAAGAAACGAAAGAGGCGCTTATCACGCCCTCGTCCAAGAAATGAGGCTCGAAGACGAAGAAAGCTAACGAGGGTATTTGAGGATGGACACAAATACATTTGAGGTATAAGCCAAGCCAAGTTAAAAGATATGTGTTTTTAAATTTCTTTAGTATCAGTTTCGTGTTGGGAAGTCAACAATTTCTGCTTTGATACCTGAGGTGTGCAATTTATAACCAACTTTGAAGTGAAGTTCTTCGTAACACCAGAACTATCAGCCAATCCGGGAGCAGTGAAGTTCTTCGTAACACCAGAACTATCAGTCAATCCGGGAGCAGCAGCCATGTATGTATCTAATTTTTCGCACCAAATTAAATTTGGAAAGTATGGAGAGTGAAAACGTTTCAGACGTTATGAAAACGTTTCAGACGTTTTTAAACAGGGATAATGTGAAGCCTTGCCGTTTCGGTAGTCCAACGTGCAGTGTAATATTATCCAACACGAGGAATATATTGTCATAGATTGCTTGCATCCGAACCAGCTAGTTTTTGTTGACGAACCAGACATTGTAAGTATATGACACCATTTTATTTCCTTGTATTTAAAAGTCACAACAGAGTGTGTCTCTTATTCAATGTCCTTTAATTCGTGTTACTGTAAGGCAAGCAAATAGTTCAGCAATATGGATATAGTGCTCGAGGAACGAGACTGTTGTTAGACCTGTTGAGACTTATATATATATACTTGTACTTGTAATTTTTGTACAATTCATATATGTACTTTTACTCTTAATTGAGCCATGTGTTCACTTGTGGGGTTATAGGGAATACGTGTTTTATATAATGCCATCTTAATACAGTAGTCAGTAGATACCAAAACATCCTTTAAAATACCTTTATATTTCAACAATTCAGCTGTCAGCTTATTTCCCAATTTTAATCAACTGTTCGCGTTCTTTTGTTAATACATTAATCCGTTGAGCAGCTTGACTTCTTAAAAAAAAGGAAAACTTTTAAAATTCAAATCTTGGCTAAGTAGTTCAGATTTTATGAAATGAATTTAGGGTCTCTTATGTGTTGATGAGAAATTTTAGGTTTTCCCGCCGCAATCAATTTTCAGTTTTGGAAAAGATCATAATTTACAATTGTGAACGAGTTGGAATGAAATATATCTACGTAGACTTTTTAACGTCGTAGCTACCATAGCGTCATAGCTATACTATAGCGTCATAGCTATACTATAGCGTCATAGCTATATCACGCCATTTCAGGTGGATCAAGACAGCAAGGGATAGGCATTCTATATATGGTCTAACAACCGACAGTGGTTGGGTTCCATCACAATTTATATATACATTTCAATTCAGTAGATTTAGAAGGTTCTACGTTCTTAAGATTCTAAACACGAATAAAGATAATATTTCAAAAGCGTCAGAAGTACACTCACCTTTCTCTCGAAGGTCTTGTATAAACTGACTTTCTGGATTGTACGTATTCAAAGGTTTTCCGTGACTGGCAAGATCCAATTTTAATGCATGCTGACAACTGCAGAAAAGCAACTCCAATAAGAAAAAGCAACCATCTCCTGTCTGTCACACAATTCTTGACTAGATGTTGCTAATACTTCTATACCTGCGGTAGTTTATCTGCGACAAACATTAACCAATATTTCATAAACAATCTCTGCACGAACTCGACTTTCGGTCTAATTACACCGAATACAAAAATTTCGGACATTACGCTCTCAAACAGATAAATATCAAACAATTATCATGCAGTAATTCTTCGCCTGTAGGCCGTGTTACACCCTCACTCATCGAGTGCGACAACCAAATTTTTTTATCACTGATCAAAGAGACAGTAATTTCTTAATCGATAAAAAGATCTAAGGTAAAACACTGAAAATAAAGCTCTTATTCGAGTGGAAATACCGCCTTGGGAATGTTATGACTTAGATTGAGATCTCCACTAAAGGCCGTTCGAGTGAGCTTTTAGAATACAGGCATAAGGCTGTCACAACTGATATCTTAGGTTTAGCATTATAGCTGCTCGCTTTGTTACTCAGTGAATCTCCCAGGATGTTACTGACATCCGGCTGATACCTAATCAAATCCTCTCTTAACTGCTTGCGGTTTTAAAAGTACATATAAATTCGTTCGATCTTGCATTAACCAGCAACACGGTAGAGTACAATTGAAAGTGAGTTCACCGTTAAGCTTCAGACTGTGATACATTTACACGTTTAATTTGTTTTAATGTTATATACCTATTTTCCATTTTGCATCTGCGATCTAGTTATTTACAATATCATCGAACTTACCTGGTTTATTATAATGATACGGCATCAATATTTCTCCAAACCCGTTTTGTAAAATTGGTCAGCCTGTTGTCTTGCTTGGGTTACCGGCAGCTTGAGATCAGAGTTCTGCTGCTTCAAAACATTCATTTCTTCGCTGGCCCGACGATTCACTGTTGTCAACTGATAGTGAAGTTGATCAATGTTTAGTTGCTTCTGACGAACCTGGAAAGAGAAAGAGCGTTGATCATCAATAATCGACACAGCTTTCTAAAATCCATGCAGGAATGTAGCACTCGAATACCAGCGCCATTTACACTATAGACTAAATTTATCGGCACGGCACGGATAAAATTGTTACCAGTGCCCAGTTCTATTAAGTTTTCAGGCTTATATACAGGGTGTATCAAAAAATGTCCCAAATGTAAAATTTCCGTTTTTCAGATATTTTGCAGAATTTGGCAAATTTTTGTGTTCCTAGAGATAGTTAAGACTTATCTGGTATATCTAGGCAAGTTTGGTTTTCATTAACAAATTATGTTACCGGGGGGGGTTCCTTTCCACTGATATTGAGAGGGCTTGCGCGTGAAAATGAAGCTGAAATTGAGATATTATTTAGCTGTATAAAGTAGGAAAGCTTTTTAATAAATTTCAGGAAAAAAATACATACTGGTAGCAACGCGCGACCCCTAAAAGTGACAAATATTTCATTGCGCGCAGTGGATTAAATGCATGGTTGATTTTAGCGTGACCGATCTCATAAGGTGGGCAAATGAATAAATTAAAGCGAGAAACGAAACAAAAGACGAAGCGATTTATTCGTGATGTTAACCTCAACATTTCCACCATTTCTTCTAAGCTTGTCTGAGCATGGTAAACACTGAACGGCGAACCATTTGTCTGTCTTGCCTCAAATTATCCATTTCGTTCGAATTCTTTCTTGCAAATCGCCTACACTACCACCGGCAATCTAGGCGAATGGACAGACAAACGGTCCACTGTTCAGTGTTTAGCATGCTCAGACAAGCGTAGAATGAAATGGTGGACATGCTGAGGGTTAACATCACGAATAAATCGCTTTGTTTTTGTGTTCAGTTTCTCGCTTTAATTTATTCATTTGCCCAGCCTTACATGAGATCGGTCACGCTAAAATCAACGATGCATTTAATCCACTGCGCGCAATGAAATATTTGTCACCTTTAGGGGTCGCGCGTTGCTACCAGTATGTATTATTTTTCCTGAAACTTTATTAAAAAGCTTTCCTACTCTTATACAGCTAAATAATATCTCAATTTCAGCTTCACATTTTCACGCGCAAGCCCTCTCAATATCAGTGGAAAGGAACCCCCCCCCGGTAACATAATTTTGTTAATGAAAAACCAAACTTTGCCTAGATATACCAGATAAGTCTTAACTATCTCTAGGAACACAAAAATTTGCCAAATTCTGCAAAATATCCTGAAAACGGAAATTTTACATTTGGGACATTTTTTGATACACCCTGTATATACAGCCTGAAAACTTAATAGAACTGGGCACTGGTAACAATTTTATCTGTGCCGTGCCGATAAATTTAGTCTATAGTGTAAATGGCGCTGGTATTCGACTACATTCCTGCATGGATTTTAGAAAGCTGTGTC